CATCTGCCTGATAATTTATAAAGGAATATATAAAGATTTTTGCTGGCACAGTCACCCCTGTAGGGAGACTTTTGGAACAAGTCTGGGCATTCAAGGCTCTCGGCTCCGGTTACTAAATCACTTTCCAAAGGACTCAGTCCGGCACCACCCACTCTGCTGTCAGTGTGTGACGGTCCCCCTCTCGACCAGTGAAAACTGTCGGGAATGTCCTACTTCTATACTGAGATGTTTCCAGCGCAGAGGGGAGGCAGGAATCTTGACCCCTACGTGTGGCAGTTTGGGCCGTTTTCCCAGAAAGAGGGGAAAAGAGCCAGGGTGGCCCACCCACCGGGGGAGCGGGTGACGTTCCGGGGCAGGCTGAGGGGCCGTAGGCCGCGGGGGCCTGGAGCACGCATCATCGCGTGTTGGTGGAATGCGTGTCGCGTCTCTGACTTCAGATGGGCTGTGTTCGCTGTGGCGTAGGGTCCCCCGGGGCCGCGCTGCACGCGGGTGCCAGCGGGGGCTCCTACTCAGTCTGAGAACCTTGGCTCTCGGGCCGAGTGAGTGAGGCCACTCCCCCACTTCAGTGGGGCACACTGCCCTCCCAGGAAGCAGGGTGCTCCGAACCGGGTGGGACCTCAGCACGCTCGAAGTGCAGCTGCTGGGGGTCAGTGCGGAGACCCGCGCATCTGCACTGGGCACCCAGGTGGGCGGAGGTCGCTCACCTGCGAGGGAGCCGTCCTCAGCTATGAGAACGGGGGATGTAGGGTGCTGGCTCACTCTGCAGTGACCGCTCATGGGGCAGGAGGGGCCTCTGACAGCCTGCTGTCATGGTCACTTGGGGCCAGGCGTGCCTTCCCCTCCTAAGTGCCACCTCTGTCCAGCTAACCGCGGTGCCCTGAGCTGCCCAGAAGGGGGGGTTGGGTGCGGTGTGAGGGCTTAGGGGGAGTCGGCAGCTCTGCGGAAGCCTCCTATGGTCTCCCTGGGAGGGCAGGAGGGCTGGGCTGCGCTTGTGAACTTCTGGAGCCTGCTTTCCAGAGCGGCGTGCAAGGAGACAGCATTGACCCGCAAACGGAGGGCAGTCTGAGCCTTGGTTAGGTTTTTCCTGCTCCCGGTGAAGGTCCCAGGAGGGAGGGGCACGGTGCCCATGGCAACAAGGGGGAGCGAGAAGCATCAGCAAATGATGGTTTTGTCCTGTACATGGACCAAGGGGTCCCTGGGGCCTTTTCTCGTTCTATTCCATTTTGTGGGAAATAAGCAGATTGCACCTGAGAAAATGAAGTTCTACAGACCAGTAGCCAGTGGCCGGGCCGCCACTTTCCCTCTGACCTCAGCTTTTTCCGAGCTGGGGAGTCACAGGGCACAACCCACAGGGGTGTCGAGGGGAGGGGAGGAGCTGGGACACAGGAGAGGGTGTGGCAGGGAGCTGGCTGCACACAGGTGGCACCTGGCAGCAGTGACCAATTCTAACCCCAAAGTCCTCAAGTAAGAGGGGCTTCTGGCTGGTGAGCGTATTGGTCCTTAGGGTCGCTGAGCGGCCCCCTAGTCTGGACACCCACCGAGGCTCAGGAGGCAGCAACTGGGTGAAGAGCCTCCGGCGGCACCACGAGCACCTCCCCACAGGCGGGCATGACGCACGTGCTCAGTAAATAAACGCCTGTGGGATGAAGGCAGGAAGGAGCCAGCGTCGAACGTGCACACAGCTGACACTGCCGCGCACCCGAGTCTCCCCGTCCCCCCCAGGCCGTGGCTGTGAACTCGCAGTGCTTTTCCTTTCTCCCTCCCCCGCTTCCGTCCCCCTAACTCCTTCCCCCCTCTCTCCTCTCTCTCTACCTCCACCCTTCCTAGTCCTCCGCCCGGCGAGCTCCTGCTCATCCCGCAGAACCCATTTCAGAGCCCCCCTCCTCTGGGAGGCTTGCCTGCCCCCTCAAGCAGAGGTAGGGGTTCCCTGCCCTAGGCTTCCCAGCCTCCCTAGAGCGCTGCTCCGGTCCTCTGGAATGTCTCCCTCAAATGTGGGAGCTTCTGGGGAGAGATTTTGTCCCCCCCGGCCGCCCCTCGTATCCGAAGCATCCTGTCCAGGGCCTGTCATCTCAAAGGTGTGTCCTGCGTGTCTGGTGAATGGCAAAATGGCACAGAGTGTCAGGCTCTCTTGGGCCAGCCGGCCCTGTTTCGCACTTGAACATGTACCCTGGACTCATGAAGGCCTTCCAGTGTCCAGAAACTGCAGGCGGTTCTGCTCTGTGGTCAGTTCCCAGGGCCTTCTAGGTGCCTGGCAGCCCTTGAGACCCCCCACAGGCAGCAAAAGACAATGTCGAAGAGAAAATCAAAGGAAGGCAAATGTCTTTAGCCAGAGGCCCAGGGCACACCATGCTTGTGTCCTCGCAGGGGGTCCCCTCCCAGAGATGAGAGCAAGACAACCAGGACGCAGCAATGGCTTTGTACCGCTGCTCTCACCAGCGGTGCCCCCTCGCAGCTGGGCTGCAGGCAGTGGGTTCGACGCCACCCTCTTCGACGGTGCTCCTTCCCCCTTGGAGACCAGAAATGTGTCCCCCGCCATGGACTGGCTCAGGGACAGGAAGGGAAGGGCGGTTCCGCCCTCCCAAGGAGACAGTGCCTGGAGGGGAGACGCAGGAGGGACACTGCGGTGGCTCAAAGGCTCTGGGACTCTCCAGAGGGGTGCCCCACCCTCCGCAAGGGCAAAGGGCCCCTAGGGGCTGTGACGTCGGCGTGGCACAGGAGGGGTTGATGCGGCTGCACTGGGTGACGAGGAGGAGGAAGAGCACAAGCAGAAGCCCGGCATCTGCCGATCCCAACCCGTCAAAGTCCGTCCAGATCCCTCTGCCAGCACCGAAGGCCTCCCCCTTGGGCTGCTCCCCCCGCCCCCCGCTGCCAAGTCCTCGGTGGCTCCCCGGTTCACCCCACCAGGCTCAGCACTAACCCTAACACACACGTTCAAGCACGGCCGCAGTGTGAGTCCCCCTGACACCGTCACCAGTCACCCCTTCCTTCCCACAACTCTGAACCCCTGCCTCCTGTCTGGAGGGTTGTCCTCCACCTCCTCCACCCCCACCTCCACCTCCTGAGGTTCCTTCTGGTTTACCTCGCCAGGAGCCTGGGCTGCTGCAGCCCCTGCGTGGCCCCTTCAGCACCCCAACAATGAGACAGGTGGAACTTTGGGTTGCTGCAGAAATCTCCCCAGCGAAGTGGATTCTGGGGTCAGGGCACGGCCCCCCACTTTTCTGGGGGAGCACCGAGGAGCCAGCCCCTTTCCCTGGTGGGAGGAGTGCCGCTGCTCTTGCTGCCTGCTGGTTGGGACAGGTCCACGCAGGGGCTCCTGCTTTGGCCACCCCCACGGTGTGGCGAAAGGGGCTTCCAGGCGGAGCTCACAGGAGTGAGAGGGCCAGACTCCTTCCTCGTTCATCTGTGGCTCGTCTGTTTGTGCCCCAGACACCTACGGAACACGCCCCACGTGTCAGGCCTTGTGGCGGGGCTGGGGTGCAAAAAGGACCGTGCGCAGTGGCCCAGAGGACGAGAGAGCAGGTGCAGGGAGCAGCGGTCAGGAAAGGCCCAGGTGGCCTCGGAGCCGAGTCCAGGAAAATGGCTAAAACGAGGACGTGCGAGAACACATGTGCATGGGTGTGCACGGCACACATGTTTTATATGTCAACGTGTACATGCACACGTGCATGTCTATGAGCAGAGTGTGTACATACCAGTGCACATGCACACGCGTGACTGCATGTATTAGTATGCTCACATGTGTAAAGGCACACATGTGAGCAGGCACAGCAACACACGTGTATACACATGTGAATGCACACATGTGTGGCTGGAAGGGTGCGTTAAGTGCAAGGAACAGCCTGTGGACGGCACAGAGAGCGGCTGGCTGGTGCTTGCAGGGTGCAGGGGATCGTGTCGGGCGGCGGTGCGGGGTGTGGGAGCTGACAGCGGGACGTCTTCGAGTTTGTGTGTTCCCTGCAGGACACCTGAGGAGCCAGCGTGCACTCCCGGGGCCCGGGGGCGTCGCTGGCGCTCTGAGCGCGGGAGTCGCACGGCCAGAGCAGGCCCAAGTCCAACACCAACCGCCCCGTCCTCCTCCGACGGCCGCCCTGCAGGGGCTGCTGCAGAAGCGGCCGGGGCAGAGGCATATCAGAAGGTAAGGGTGAGACCACGGAGACTGGGACCAGCCCTCCAACTGGGGCGCCTTTGACATTGACTGAGAAGTTGCACTTCAGCTCCCGGTTCGCCTTTCAAGCTGTAGCTTTCCCATGATTCTGCGTTAGACAGGTGACTACTCAAGTCACCGGTGTGTGGCTGCCCGGGGGGTTCCCTCTAGGCTGGGTGACCCTCGTGGAGCGGGACGGGGCCTCCCACGGCGGCCGTGGCACATCTGGAACACACTGGAGAACGCACCACGGGGCTTTACAAAGAAAGGAAGAAAGAAGAAAGGGCCCGAACAAGCTCTTTTTGTGGGAATAATTTTTATGTTCCCAAGTATTCGTGGGTTCGGTTTTGCACACAATTAATTGTACTTACAAATGCCTCCTTGAGGGCACAATTAGTCACTGGCAACTCATTCTAAAGGTGCCAGAGGCTAATTGTACCCCCCGGCGAGGGGTTTCAGGTGTAATTAATTATTCTTTAATTATTAAATTTGTTATGCACTGGTCGGGTGCACAAAGTTGTGCTCAGATGAACCCGCTGGCTGGCACGGGGACGGCTGGAGGGGAGGGGACCGTGCCACCCTCTGAGCAAGGGGACATGTGAAAAGAAAGAAAGGCCTTTCTGGCTGCTGGCTCAGCGTGGGAAATTCCTGAGGTGACAGCAGAGGAGCCGGCTGATTCGGGCGGACAGCGGGGCGGGGCCAGCCCGGAAAGCCCACAGCCTTGGCCCCGCTGGCCAGGCAGGGGAAGGCCCGCGGGCTGCAGGGGGCTGAGCCTGCCTCTTCGGCAGGGGGACAGGGCAGGCCCCGAGCCCTCTCTGAGCCTCACCTGTGCCGAGGGCTCCCGGGGGTGCTGGCCGAGCTCCCCCCCCCCCCCCCCCGTGTGGATGGAGCAGCGAGGGCCCGAGACGGGGTGAGTTACCCACGGAAGTCGGCTTCCTGGAGAGGCAGTGCCCCGTGGGGGTGGGGAGGGTGGGGCCTGTCTCGGGAAAGCCCGCTGGAGCCAGATTTAGCAGTTTTGAAACCTGAATAGAAACATCAGCCACATAACCCTGGGCAGGTCCTTTCATCTTGCCACACCTCTGTCGTCTCCTCTGTAGAACGGATGGGAACTCGTAACGGCACCTCTCTGCACTAGCTGCGAGGATTCCACGAGTTAGCCTGTGCTAAGCTTTGAACAGGGCCTGTCTGGAGTAAGCCTGGCCACGAGGTTGCTGTCATTGCTTTTGTTCCCTCCGTGGCCATGAACCTGTTTCCAAAGGAAAACACGGCTGTGCCAAAGGTAACCCTCCGACCTTGCTTACAGCGCCCCCTGTCTGTGCTGCCTCCTGACCCAGGGAGAAGGAAGAGCTTCCTTTTGCAGCCGAGATTGGGGGGGTGTCTCATTAACGCGTTCAAAAAGGGGTTATTTATATCTGCGTGATGAGATGATGGGTGGTCATATTTTTCTTTGTCTTTTCCAGCCTGTTTCACATTTTTTTAGTTTTCCTTGGCTTTTATTTTTTAAATGTGCCATGTGAAAACAAAGACAAGAGAGGAAGGCGTGAGCTCCAAGCTCAGAAGTGTATCCTTCTGCAAACCGATTTGCAGATCGTGGGTGTCCTGCAGACCATGGTCAGGGCGTCACAGGACCTTGGCCCCACGCCTGCCCCTTGCCAGGGCCCCCTCCCGGTGGTCATCATTCTCGCAGCTCTCCGACGCTCTCTGCCCTTCTAGTTTGTCCCGGCCTGACTGCCTGACCACCAGTCAGTGGCTATTCTGTGAACTGGCGGATGCCGGGGCGCCCCTCTGTATTCCCCTAGGCCCCCCATTAGGGGCCCAGCCAGGATCTCAGCCGAGCACTCCCCGTGCCCGAGAACTGGCGGGGCGGGCGGGGGGCGAGCTTTGTGGCCCCGTTTGACTTCATGTTTTATGGAGCACCCTTTCCCCTTCTGCCTGCCCCACCCCCCAGACGCAACCACTGACGTGAATTCTTTGAGCATGCCCCCATTTCGCTGTAGCGATTTCCGACGCGTGTATGCATCTATAAACAGCTGACCGCTTTGTGTGTTTTTAACATGCATGTCAATGAAATCACGTGCAACGTGATTCTTTCACCCAGCTGTCTGTCCTTCTGCTCTGTCCTCCGTGAGGCATGAAGACCCGGGTCTGCAGGTGAGACAGGTGACCCAGGCCCCTGGGCCCCCACAGCCTGAGACAGCGGCGAGAGCCCTGGAGCCAGAAAACCGTCCCCACCGACCACCTCTATGCCCTATCGGGCATCCCTTGTGAGCCGCAGGAGCTGACACCCAGCTAACTTCAGCGGAAAATGAATTTAGTGGCAGGCTACCAGGTGGCACAAATTATTGAAGAGTGGCAAGAGAACCAGGTGTAAGAACAGACATGAACAGGCAGTAATAGGGCAGTTCCAGGAGTCTGGGGGGGGGGGCAGGAGCCCACCCATGGCCTGTCAGGGAGCCCCTGGAACGAATGCCTCCCGGATGACACATTTTGTCCTTTGGCCATTTCACGTAACATGTGAAGTCCCTGAGAGAAAACTTGACTCAAACTGGCTTAAGCAGAGACAGTCTATAGCTCATATAACAAAAAAGTCCAATGTTCAAACGCAGGTCTAGCTTCAGGTACAGCTTGATCCAGGGCCCAAAGGGTGTCACCAGGACTCTTCCCATCTCTCCCTCGGGCGTCCCCCATGCCCTTTGTTTGTAGGGCATGAGGGCTTCTGCAGCTCCAGCCTTGTACTCTCTCAGCTTTCACAATGAAAAGGAGGTGCCAGGGTCTGCCCCAGCCTCCCCAGGAGAGACTGGTGGAACAGCATTGCTCTGATGCAGTCACGAGTCCATTCTGAACCAATCATCGTAGCCAGAGAAATGCCATCGTTTCATTGGCTAACACCCAGCCACACGCTCTCCCAGGGCGTCCTACCCGAAGCTCAGAGTGGACAGCTTCCCGAAAGGAAACTGGCAGTTTTACCCAAATAAGGGGACATAGATGCCCAGTTGGCAAAAAAAACCTAAGCAGTGCCCACTCATGAATAGATGAAAGAAGAGACAAGGACATAGAAAAGCAGAGCAGCCAGCCGGCCACCACAGGACTCGCCAGCACCTGTGCTGGGAGCAGGGAGCCCCCGAGAAGCCGCTGCCGGCAGGCTGTGGGGTGGGCTGAGTGGGCAGCTTCCTTAGGCACGGTGGTGCTAGTTCATCGGGCTCCCTGGGGCCCGGGACACGGGAGGTCGGGCTGTGACACACTGCCACGTGCCTCCTCCCATCGCCCTTCCCTCCGGTCACTGTCAAACGATGAACTTCGGACACAGACTACATTTTCTTGGGATCACCCCTGCACATGAATTGTAGGAATAATGACACGTCAGTATTTTCCATTCAGCAACGCATCTCGGTGAGCACGCAGCTCCACGGAAGGTGTCCGTGTGGCGGCTGGAACCCATCAGTCCGAGCGCTGGAGGAGCCAGCTGGGCGCGGAAGCAGCCTGGGCGATGAGATGTGGGCGCATCCCCAAAACCGGGGACTGTCCCCAGTGGTGAGGTGCGGTACCACTGAGGCACAGAGGTCCCCGGAGGGTGGCGTCGCCTGGCCGGGACGGCCTTTCGTTTCAGCTTCTCTGTGGGAAAACGTCCCGGTTGTTTTAACATTCACGGGCAGTGTTCGCGGGAGAAAAGAGATGATGGGGAAAATAATTCATAAACCCAAACCGGTCGTTATTAGAGTAGCAAAAACACAGTGCTCATGCACAGAATAGTTTACGTTAAATTAAAAACCATAACTTATCTCCGAGACACTCCATTTAGTGCATCTGAGGTTAAATCCGATTCAGCGCGGCTCTTCCAATTAGATTGCTCCTCCGTCGCTCCCGTAAAGTATATTACACATAATTTCCTGAAAAGTAACAGAGATCATTACTCTGTTTGCAAATTGATACCATGTTATTGAAAATAGGAAATATTTGCAGGGACATTTCAGATCTTTTTTTATTTATTTTTTTTTTACCAGAGAATGCAATACTGGCAGTGAGGACATGTGTGAAACCCAGATTTCCGGCCTCCTGGTCAAGGAGGAGGGAAGCCTGTCTGGTCTGTGTGGGGGGGAAAGGGGCCGAGGAAGCCTCAGAACCGGGGGGCTGGGCACGACGGGGCGTCCCCAGACTAGTCCTGGGAACCCAGGAAAGAAGCTTCTGGAGTCCTGTGTCTTTCCGTTCTGCCCAATGTCCGTGTAGCGGGACAGCGCCAGCCTGTTAAGCTTCTGGTTGGTTCGGAGTTGCTGACTCACATCTGACTTTACGGGGGGTCGTTTCACTCACACAGATGGCCGTCGTGGCCGTCGTGGGCTTTTATCTCCGCCCGTCCCCTGGACAGGCCTGTGCCGGTCACAAGGAGCAAGGCTGTCTCCTGCCTCTGCTCCCCGAGTCGCTGTCACAGAACTGCGTCACGTTTATAGAGGAAGCCCCCGAACGGCTCTTGCAGGGTTTGATGGGGGTCCCGTGGAGCACGGGGTTTGCAGGGCTGTCGTGTGGGCGCCAGGCTGGACTGCCGTCCCCCCGGGGACTTGGCAAGGAGAGGACCGAAAGGCCCCAGTAAATAATCTGGTGGCACAGCCCAGCTGGAGCCTGGCCCGAGTCCTCTGTGCGGGGGATGGAGTCTCTGTGAGCCAGGCGGGGCGTTAAGTCAGAGCCATCTGTCCACGGCGGTAGGGTGTGGCGTCGGGCCGGCCAAGGATGCATTTGGCCCGAGGGAGCTGACTGCCCGAGCCGGGGGGTTGCAGATGTGGAGGGGTGGGGAGCCCCACTCCGCCCAGCGCAGAAGCACAGTGGTGCTCACCGCCCGGGCCACCGGCCAGGCGCACGTGCAGGGCTAGGGCTCTTCCGGTCAAACCGAGAATGTGCACAAAAGGACATCGTGTGTGCGGTCTCTTCAGGACCACCCAGCCCAGCCCACGAGACACCTCTGCCATCCCAGAGTGTCGCTGCCCCCACTGGGAACAAGGAGCATTTGCTCAGAGGCCTAGAGACCGGAGCACCGGGCAGAAGAGGCTGAGCCGGTCTGTGGCCAGCGACTTGGAGGAGTCCCTGAGTCATGGTCACGCCAAGCACACAGCTCCTGCCAGCTCCGTCCCGGGCCCACTGGGGCCCGACTTTGACCTGCATGGGCCGCAGGCTCTGTGTGCGGCTGGGACAAAGCCACAGCCGCGTCTGAGCAGACGGCAGCCGGCACCGAGTTCCGCCCAGCAGAGCCAAGGCGGGAAACTGCCGGCTCCTGGGCGGGCACGTCTGAGAGGGTGAGATGCTTCTGGACCGGCCTCCACAGGGACGGGCTCGGGGTGCACCTGGCAATGCGTGGCAGCGCCATCTCCCCAAACTCCTGCCGATGACAGACGTTCCACGGAGAACCTCGGCCAGTTCGGTGGGTGCGAAAGGTGTCTTCCTGTCGCCGCGGTTTGCTTTCTCCTGGTTATGGGGAGGCGTGGCAACTCTTCCTAATGCGTATCAGCCATTTGTGTTTCTTCTACAAGTTGCCTGTTTGTATTCCGTGCCCATTTTTCTATTGGGCTATTCTTATTAGTAAATTGAAGCATTCCTTCATGTAGTCTGATCATGAATACGTTGTCGTATATGTTGCGAATATTTCCTCCCAGTCGACTTCTCTTTTAATTTAGCTTATGGTTTCCTTTTTTTTTCCCTCCAGAGAAATACTCATTCATGAGCAAGAAGCCCGTCACCGCATCGTTTTTTAACAGTGAGATGCTGGAGAAACCATCCACCTTGAATAAGGAGCTGGTTACACGCAGCACCACGCACCCGCGCTAAGCACGCGCCGGCCGAGCTGCAGGGAGGAGGCAAATGGGGCCCCTGTGAGCACAGTGGTCGGACGGAGCGCTCCGTAAACAGCAGGTCGCAGAAGAAGGTGTGTGCTCTGATCCCGCAGAAGTGAGTGAAATCCCAGCAGATAAAACAAACCTCCACTACATGTTTTCATATGCTATTTACACACATATGTTCATAAATGCACAGAAATAGATCTGGATGTAGCTCCTTCGGGCAGGAGCCTGGACCTGCAGGTGAGGGTCTCACGGGGACCTAAGTTTAATTATTTGTATGATTGATTATTTGCATTATTTTATCCATGCCATTTAAATGTTCCCTAATGAAACCATGTTATGGACCGGAGGCCTGTGTCCCCCTCGAAATTCACTTGTTGAATCCCAGCCCCCGATGTATTAGGGGGAGGGGCCCGTGGGAGTGATTAGGTCACGAGGGTGGGGCCTTCTGAATGGGACTCGGGTCCCCATGGGGAGAGAGAGTGTTTTAGCTCTGCCTCCTCCATCGCGGGAGAATACAGGAAGAGGTGGGCAGTCTGAGACTTGGAGGAGGGCTCTCCCCAGAACTCAGCCACGCTGGCCCCTTGACCTCGGACTTCCAGCCTCCAGAGCTGTTGGCGACACGGTTCTGTTGTTGGATGAGCTGCCGGTCTGTGGTATGTTGCTGTAGCAGCCTGAGCGGAGACAGATGCAGCCCTGTTTTCCACGGGCCACTGAAAAATAAAAGCTGGCGCGTGTCGGACTCCCGGAAGTCCCGTGAGCTCGGCGAGGGGGCTGGGCACACCTGGGCCCATGCGCTTTGTCTCTGTTGAACCCAGAGAGGTGACCCAGGGCCACGGGGACAGCAGAAGCAGGGGAGGGAAGGAAGTGGGACCAGCGGAGCATCTCCTGGGAGTCAGACCCTGCATGAGCATCTGTCCCTCTGTGGGCTCTCAACTCGGAATCCTCGAAGCTGCATTTGGGTTGAACCTGCTATTTTTTTTTTCTCTTTTTACCTGCATGACTCTGGGTGAGACAGCGAGCCAGTTGGCCTCCTTGGGCCCCGGGTTCGTCACCTGCGCCTTGGGATCATCACCCGTCCTGTCTAACTCATGCCACGCAGAGAGCCAGGCGCCACCAGAGCAGAGCAGCCCCGAGGAGCCCACAGAGCGCGTGCGTGGGAAGGCGCTACCCCGACCCAGGAGGCTGGAATCGTCTTCTGAGCGTGTGCGGGGCAGGGGAGGCGTCCATCGAGCATTCCTTGCAGACGCCGTCAGATGCTGTGGGTTCTTCCCCGTGGAGGACTGAGCCTTGGCCAAGGTCCAGCACCCCAGGGCCTCCCCGCGTGCCTCGGGCCCTCCATCCGTAGAGGTCTAGGGACACCAGGAGTACAATGGGCGCTGTCCCCAGCACGGCACTCATCGAGTTAAACCCACGAAGGGCAGGAAGGAAGATTCCAAGGGGGCAAGCCCCTCTGGACGGAGAAGAGCCATCTCTTCGGGGCACTGCAGTCTTCTGTCTCTGCGACCACCTCTGAGGCCATCCGTCAGTGTCAAGGCTGGCGAGGAAGGTCTGCAGACACCCACTCCTCTGTGCAGGGCACACAGTTTAAAACATTTGTATATGTAGCCCTGGCTGGTGTAGCTCAGTGGACTGAGCTCGGGCTGTGAACCAAAGTGTCGCAGGTTTGATTCCCAGCCAGGGTACATGCCTGGGTTGCAGGCATGGGCCCCAGCAACCGCACATGGATGTTTCTCTCTCTCTTTCTTTCTCCCTCCCTTCCCTCTCTAAAAATAAATAAATAAAATCTTTTAAAAAATAAAATAAAACATTTGTATATGTGTAAGGGGCTTGCCTTCTTGCAATGGAAGAGGACAGAGGGAGAAGAGATCATTTCAGGGCGAGTGTCTGCGGCTCTGTGGTCCAGAGTCCTCGGCGTCATGGAGACTGCTAATCATTGGCAAAAAACCAAGGAGCTTTATCAGTCTCCAAAGTTTGTGATGAATAACCCCCAAAGTTAATGGATCACTCTTAGCCAGAACGTCACCCTGGCTATTTCCTCATTATTATACATTGAGCTATAACTTTGAATCCTGGTCCTTGGGGGAGGGGCGAGAAATCAGGAATCCAGCAGAATTCTTTTATTTCCACAAAGACCAAATGAGGCTGCTCTTGTTGACGTTGGGGAAGCATCCCAGCTGCTCAGACCCCGCTTCCCTGTGCCTTGAAACTCCAGGGCTCAGAAACCACTGATTTCACTGAACTCCCCGTTTTTCAGATGAGGAAACTGAGGCCCAGAGGGAGGAGGTGACTTGACCGTGATCACACGCCAGTAAATGTGGCGGACATGGTTGGGTTTCTCACTCAGTAGTCATAGCTCTGCTCCCATTTTCTTGCTTGAAGTGCCCGTCCCACATTCCCGAGATTAAAAATGCCGCATGACTCACTTTCCCAACCTCTCCTCCAGCTAGAGTAGGGGCATTGACTCACTTCCGCCCAGTTCTGGGAAGAGGTTACCTTCTCAGCAAAAAGAAGCAAGCAAAGAGAAATTGTCTTTCCTTTTGACTTCTAGTGTGGCTGTGGTAGGGGTGTGATGACTGGAGCTGTGGCAGCTATCTTGTAACCATGCAATCAAAGCTTGAGGATGACCGTTGTATTCACTGCTGTCCAGCCAGGAAACGTGGACTACTCTAAGTGTTTAAAACAGAGGAAATGAATGCAGGGATTGCTTACAGGGGTGACAGAAGAGATGATAAGCCAGGGGAATGGTGAGGCGCCCCAGCTGTCACCCCAGAAGTGAGCATTCTCAGGACACTGCTCACACCCCTAGGACAGGAGGGGCAGGGCGAGGAGGAATGTGGTAAGGGCCCAGAAGCTGGGGATAAGAAAGGTCCAAATCCTTAGAGCCGCTCGTTCACGTGGGCAGGTCTGAGTGTTGCAGCTGCTTCTGAGCCAGAGCTCTGGTCTTCTGACCTGCAGTCTGGAGCCTGGGCTGCTCCCCGCAGGGAAAACCACAGCCGAGGTCAGAAACCCGGCGCCTACGTTCCCACGCGGGTGAAGAAGGCCCAGCAGAGAGGGTGAGCATGCGCGATCGTGGCGGAGCCCTGGTCTGGAGTCCGCAGCAGGGCCATGCGCCCCCTCTTCTTGGAAAGCAAAGATGCTCTGAGTAACTCGCAGCAGAGGGTGAAAGGAAGGGGGAGGGGGCTTGGCGGACCCCAAGTAGAACCATTCACAGAAGGTGCCCGTGGGGTGAGTCTTAGGCATTTACCGGGGCCGTACGTGAGACCTGGGGTGTCAGCTGGATGGGTCACTGGGCCGGTGGTTTCCACACTTCGGTGGAACGCAGAATCAAAGAAGGCTTTGCTTGGAACCCCAAGTGGGGTGGGGAGCCCCAAGTGCACCTCTCCGCCCCACACCACGGGCCTGCGGTCTCCCGGTGCTCAGGGGGCAGTGTGAGAACAAGCGGTCCAGCCCACCGACACGTCTGTGAATAGCGGAGGAAACGGAGACTTAGGTTTCCCGCTGCGCTGACAGAAAGCCTACTCCAGGGGCCTGTGTGACCCGGGTTCCGGGCTCCTGTAGTAAAGTCGCGGCAGGACGGGGCGGACTGGTCCCAAGGACGGCTCAGTCCAGAGCATCGGCAGGTGGTCCGCAGTTCTCGCTTCCTCCTCTCCTCGCAGCCCACCCGCATCTGTCGGCCTCTGACGCGTGGCGGCTGCGCCACATCTTACCACGCTCTCTTTCAAGGTCAAGAACATGGCTGCTAGGATCCCCAGGCTGGCATCTCCAGCAGAGTCCGAGGGCAGGATTCCAAATGCCTCTTTCTCGGTTCAGGATGAAGGCTTCTCCCTGGGAACACACTCGGGGCTTGGATCAGTCACAGCGTCAGGGGGCAGGGATGCGGGACGGCCCAGCCCTGGTCACCAGCTCGGTCTGGGGCCGGGGGCCGGGGGCCGGGGGTTGGGGTGGGGGGGGGGAGGTTGGTGCAGGAGAGTTTGCAGGCGGTGCAACCAGGATCCCCGCCGGGAAAGCCCAGGAGAGAGGCAGGCCTTCCAGCCTGTGCCCGGCCTAGGTCCTGGGGCGGAGCCAGAGGAGTCAGCTTGGCCGTGTTCTTCCACTTGACCTCGGAGGCCCTGGCATCTCTCCGGTTCGTGGTGTCCCCAGCTGTGAGGCCGGGAGACCACCTCCCATCTCATAGACTTCTGTGGTCATCCAGCGAGGTACAAAGCTGAGAAATGCTTAACAGCTAAACCAAGGAGACAGAGGGTCTATGGCTGTTGGTTGGATTTCCGAACAGAGCCCCCTGGCACCCAGTTCTGTGCTCTGGCCTGAGGCCAGGTGCCTGGGCCCCGTGCCGGCTCCCTGGTTCCGTCCCAGAGTCCCTTCGGGGACAGGAGGGGTGTGCGCAGCTCAGCTCCTCCCCCTCCAGGTGAGCAGGACTCAGGCCCCTGACGGGCAGCCCCTGGAAGCGCTTCTTCCCGAGAGACTCCAGGGCTGGTCGCAGGCATCTTTATTTCTGGGGGCTGTGATTCTTATTTGGTTAAATAACACATTTTAAAAAGCTGTTGTGATTCCATACTGAAGCTTCCCATATGGTTAATTGGAAGTGTTCTCACCAATATAGCAGGCTGTAAAAACTAATGAGGTAAATGGAAAATTTATCAAGTGCCACAGTTAGAAATTAACTTATTGCTTGATACCGAGCTCATGACTAATGCGGTTCGAGGGGTCTCTTCACACGCAGAGCAAGGCGCAGAGGCCGGGCCGCTGTCGACATCGGGGAGACCCTCCCCCTCTCCCCTCTGCACCTGTCACCCCACCCGCCTCGTGTCAAGTATCAGATGAATACGGCAAAGGGCCGGGCCCAGTCCAGCCACTGGGACGCCGAGCGTATATTCAGGCGGGCGTTCCGTCACCAGTGACAGCAGTCACTAGCACTCGCCGGTGCCTGGAGTTCTGTGTGCACTGTCTCACGGGCCTCTCCCACCAGGGCTGCAGGGAGGGGCTGCGATCACCCACACTTCACACCCCGGGGACTGGAGGCTCACACTGTCCTAAGTGGTGAAGCCCAAACCCAAGTCTGATCCCAATGTCCATATGTGTTCCACTCAGCCATCCACCCATCCTTCCATCCGCCCACCCATCTATCCATCTACTTATCTATCCATCTACCCATCCATCCACTAATCCATCCATCCACCCATCCATCCACCCATCCATCCACTAATCCATCCATCCACCCATCCATCCATCCACCATCCACCCATCCATCCATCCATCCACTAATCCATCTATCCATCTACTCATCCATCTATCCATCTACTTATTTATCCATTTACCCATCCATCCACCATCCACCCATCCTTCCATCCACCCATCCTACCATCTACCCATCCATCCACTAAACCATCCATCCATCCACTAAACCATCCATCCACCCATCCATCCATCCACTAATCCATCCATCCATCCATCCATCCATCCACCCATCCTTCCATCCATCCACCCATCCTTCCATCCATCCACCCACCCATCCATCTACTCAAGTGACAAAGGGGCAGTGCCAGCCTGTGACGTGCCAGGCCCCACGCTCTCCTGGAGATACCAGGATGCAGCCGGGTGGTGATCAAGGGCCAGGATGCAAATCCCATGCCCTCTGCCACTGGCTGGCTGTGGGTGGGCTGGCCCTCCCATCCGGGCCTCCAGGCTCACCTCACCCCCCTCACCCTGCTCTGCGGCCGGGAGGCTGGCCTGCATGGCTCCCATCTGTGGGCTCCCTGCTCTCTAGCTCCTGGTCTGTGGGGGGCACTGGCTGGAGCCTGTGAGGACCACTGGCCAGAAATGGGACGTGGGAGGAGAGTGGGAGGTTTCTCCAGCTTCCTCCTCCTCTGGTTGTGTCCCCTCGCTCCCCCATCAAGGACCGCTGCTCCCTGCACCCAGGGGCACTGGAGGACCAGCTGCTGGGTCCTCTTTCCTGTCCTTCTTTGTCACTCTCCCTGCCGCCACCTTCTCCCGCTCCCCTGCACCGGTCGTCGGCGCTCTGCTCATGGCCATCGCCCCCCAGTTCAGTGCCCTCTGCCATGACCACCTGCCCCCAGCACGGTGAGTGGCTCCCTTTGGCCAACAAATACCAGCTGACGCCCCCTCCTCCCGAACCTCCATCTGAGTCACAGCCTCCCCCTGACCGTGGCCGTTTCCGGAGAAAGAACATACCGAAGGCCGATGACCGCACTCACCCCTACGAGGGGCTGGGCAGCCGAATCACCCCCACCTCTCCGCTCTGGCCTGTGGAGTCCCTGGGGAGGCACCGGAAGCAGACCCGCAGGCCCCGAGATGCTCTCTGCCCTGTGGGCGCCCTGGGGCCGAGGCTGTGTCCGGGTGCTGGGAGGTCCAGGTGGGGTGCCCGCTCCTCTGGCGCTTCTGGCGTGTTTGCGGGTAGAGCGGAACGAGGTGGGGCGTCATCCAGTCAGTGAGCGTGCGCTGGAGACGTCCTGTGGGCGTGGCGCGAGGAACTCTTTATGAAAGAGGGAGGCCCGCCCCCGGCCCTGGGGAGCTAACAGCTTTGTGGGGCAGAGAGCCCGCATGCGCAGACACACGGACACTCCCGGTGGGTGGTGCCCATCCTGGAAGACCTGGCACCATCCCCTTCCCCCGGGACCCCGGGGGTCCGTGCTGCTGGCCCGTCCCCAGTCCCT